GTGGATCACCAGGTCAGGAGTTCAAGACCAGCCTGGCCAAGATAGTAGAAACCCCGTCTCTACTAAAAATACAAAAGAATTAGCATATACCTGTAATTCCAGCTACTCAGGAGGCTGAGGCAGAAGAATCGCTTGAACCTGGGAGACAGAGGTTGCAGTGAACCAAGATCATGCCACTGCACTCCAGCCTGGGCAACAGAACAAGACTCCGTCTCAAAAAAAAAAAAATTGCACTCCAGCCTGGGTAACAAGAGCGAAACTCCGTCTCAAAAAAAAAAAAAAAAATACAAAACTAGCCGGCCGTGGTGGCGGGCGCCTGTAATCCCAGCTACTCGGGAGTCTAAGGCAGGAGAATCACTTGAACCTGGGAAGCGGAGGTTGCGATGAGCCGAGATCGTGCCACTGCACTCCATCCTGGGCTACAGAACGAAACTCCATCTCAAAAAAGAAAGAAGAGTTTATTGAATATTCCAGTATTCAAAACCCTCAGGAAGAAAAACAAAAATAAAAATAAATAAACCTCAGGCAAAACTCCGACCAACTAACTGGGTTAGTGGGAAAACCTTCCAGGACCGCAAATATCCTAGTACTTCACACCCACGCATTTTACAGATGGGGCAAAAGGGGAAGTGGGTCACTTACTTGCCGCCCAAGGTCAGCCAGCAATGTAATTGCAGGGCAAACACTAAATGGCTACCTTAACCCCAAGGAAGAAAGTATGCACTGTTCCCCTCTCAGGGAGGGGCTCAGTCATTAAGTCCCAGAGAAGCAGTTGTTCAGGAGAGTCATTGCTTTGGACTCAGGGAAAGTGTCCAGTAATGCTTTTGCCTGGAGCCCCTCCCAGAAGTGTGGGACGAGATCACTCATCCATCCTCTCTTTGGTACCTGAAAACGTTTTGGATAGCCAACCATGGCCCAAGGACCTCGCCAAAGCACCAGGAAAATAGGAAAGCAAAATAAAGTGATATATGTGAAAGCACTGGGAAAGGTAGAAAGGGATACTTTTGTCACACAGTTACTGTGTCACTTGGCACGTCACTTCAGCTCTCTGTCCTTCAACTTCCCTAGCTGTCAAATGAAGGAGCTGCTGCCATAAACTCCAACGTGCCTTACAGCTTCCATAAATACATAGGGGTGTTTGCTTTCTCCGAAATTTATGAATTCAGCATTCATTGAGCACTATGCCTGCTGCCGTTTGGGATCCCCCAAGGATATGGCTGCAAAGACACAGCTCCTTCCCTGCATTATTTAGGGAAGAAACAAGACATTATTTAAAAAACTGTTTTATTATTTTTATTTTTATTTTTTAGGTTTTCCCTATTTATTTATGGCAAATAGGCCACATCTGCGATTCTCTCCAGTCAAAAGTTCTTTGAGACGATGCCATCAGCCTTGGCCAATCGGAAAATGGAATCATCTGACTCACCCATCCTACGTACGGCCCCGCAGACGGCATAAGTTTTAACTGGCAGTTAAACCTGCCTGTGAGCTTGTCGACCTCGGCCACGTTCATCTGGATGGATGCGTGGTCCTTGGCACCGAGGATGCGGTTACTGGCGGAGCATTTCCGCGGCACCTACAGGTCCACGAACTTGCCGGCGTCGTTCTGCATCTCGAGGCCGCGCCTGCTGCCACCACACCGCTCTCGAGTAGAGAAAGGAAACGGCGTGTCACCCGGCAGAGAAATCGGCTCATTTTATTTTTTAATTTTCTTTTTTATGTGACGGAGTTTCACTCTTTTCACAGAGGCTGGAGTGCAATGGTACAGTCTTGGCTCATTGCAAACTCGACCTCCTGGGTTCAAGCAATATCTCCTGCCTCAT